ACCTCCTGCAGAAAGCCAATGCCAGTGAGTGACCTTCACTCTAGCTGTATCAGTGCCTCAGGGAAACTCACATTAAAGAGACATGCCAGATATGCAGCGCTTCAGACCGCGCACTCAAAAGGAGAGGGACATTCATCTGGAGGCCTTTCTCATGGAGGCAGCCCTCAGACCAGTCTCAATGCCGAGCGCTTTGGCTTCCATCCGAAGTGTTCCACCGGTACCATGCTCTGCTCAACGCTGTTCTCCATCCCTGGTGCCAAGGAGGAAGCATATGGCAGTCTCCTCCTTCTGTGCCCCCACCTCAAGAGGGCAGAAAAGAAGTACAATGTCCCAGCCAGTGGGTTTGAGTACCTTTACTCATACCCTCCCATGGGGGTCCCTGATAGAGTTGACACCAAATGAACAGGACCGACAGGGGCAGTTGAATGTTACCCCCAAAAATAAAGAGACCAGGAGACTGGACCTATTCAGAAACAAGGTTTATTCAACAGGCAGCCTCCAGTTGTGTATCTCCAATCAGCATACCGTGCTGGGAAGGTATGATTTTAACCTGTGGGATTCATTGTCTAAATTCAAGGATTCCCTACTGCAGGAGTCGAGGCAGGAATTCACGGCCATCCTAGAGGAGGGCAAGGGGGTGGCCATGACCTCCCTCCAGGCAGCCCTGGGTATGGCTGACTCAGCAGCCAGAACTATGGCACCAGCGGTCACCATGAGGCGCTGCGCGTGGCTCCAGTAATCGGGCCTCCCTCACAAAGTGCAGCAGTCCATCCAGGACCTCTCCTTCGAGGGTACCTTCTCCAAGCTTCATGGCCTCAAGGACTCGAGGGCCACCCTTCACTCCACTCCTCGGGCCTGCCTCCAGGAAGCATTTTAGGCCCCAGCAGCCTCCCAGGTTCACTGCGCCTCCCAGGAAGGATCCCTACAAGAGAAAGGGGAAGGGTTATAAGCGATGCCAACCCATACCTTCTACCTCAGCCTCCCAGTTGGGCTCACCTAGATATCCTGGCAGGGCCAGGCAGGCCTTCTGAGGGTATGCTTGAGGACGGTATGTCAGTCTTGATGCCACATCCGCACCTTTTGTTTTGGACCGCCTGTTGCCTTTAGCCCAGCATGGCCATATATAACATCGGACTGGTGGGTACTCAGCACCTTAACAGTCAGTTACACCCTCCAATTTTCATCCACCCTTTGCTCTCACCTCTGACCACATTCATCTTCAGGGACCCTTCTCACAAGCAGCTTCTCATCCAGGAGGTGCAAGCCTTCCTCTGGATGGGGGCCATAGAGGAGGTTCCTTGAGACTTGAGAGGGAATGGATTTTGCTCTCAATATTTCCTAATCCTGAAGGCCAAGGAGGGGTCCAAGGCCCATCCTGGATCTGCATCGCCTAAACAAATATAGAAACTGAGGTTCTGCATGGTCTCCCTGGCCTCCATTATTTCTTTCCCAGATCCAGGAGACTGGTATGCTGCCCTCAATAAGGACACTTATTTCCACATCTCCATCATCCATGATCTCATGGGATTTCTTAGGTTTGTGGTGGGTCAATGCCACTACCAATTCACTGCACTTCCCTTCAGCCTGTCAGCAGTCCCACAGACTGATAATGTTGCTTGAAGGCTCAGGTCCAGCACAGCACTGGTACAGTAAGGGCCACCTTTCAGGCACTAGGTCTGTTGATAAATTTGCAGAAGTCAACTCTGGTCCAGGTTCAGAGGATAGAGTTCATTGGGGCAGTGCTCGACTCAACTCAGGCCAACGCCTACCTACTGGAGACCAGATTCTGAGCTATGTCAGATCTGATCTCCAGGATCAAGACCATCCACTAACAACTGCTCCGGTCTGCTTCAAACTGTTGGGTCATATGGCGCATGTACCTACATAGGGCTGTATGCAAGGCTACGTCTCGGACCTCTACAGGTGTGGCTGGCGTCAGTCTACTCCCCAAGCAGACACCATTTGGACTAGACACTCAAGATTCCACCTCAGGTCCTCGCTTCACTGACCTGGTGGAGAGACCCAGGATCTGTAATGAAAGAGGTACCCTTTGCTGCCCCTCATCCGTTGGTAACTGTAGTCTTGGATGCATCAGATCTGGGGTGGGGAGCCCCCTTCAACAGACTCAGGGCCTCTGGTCCCAGGAAGAACTCTCCCTGCATATAACTCAGGGAACTCAGGACAGTATGCTTGGCTTGCCAGGTGTTCCTTCCCCAGTTCTCAGGCAAACTGGTGGACAAAATTGCATCAGTGTTTTACATCAACAAGCAGGAAGGGCTCAATCTTCAGTCCTATGCCAGCAGGCCCTGGCTATTAGCTATTCTGGGACTCTCTCACACTCTCTTGTTGGAGCTCCTGTTGTTTGTATGAATAATTAAATATTGATTGGGCCAGAGAGCAAAAGAGTGAGTGACTCTATAGCCCAGTGGTTAAGCCACTTACTCTGAGGTTGAATAAAGTTCTTTCCCACATGTAGGATAGCAGAGTTAAACTTGAATTCTGTTCACAACTTCTTATAAAAAGTTTCCTAACTACAAAGAACCTAAGCTGTGTAGGAACAAAATTATGCACGGATCTTCTAACTCAGTGTACGTGCTGCCCAAGAGATTTTTCTCCTATGCAATTACTTAGTTTGCTGTTTCCTCCAGCAAATTGCTGTTCATGCTCACCTTACGGGGAAAAACAGCTAGATTCAAGTACCTTCTTCTGCGGAATCTGATGGAAACTCTCAGTTTATGTATGAGATTTTTGGTGGTCTACAGATGAATGAACATGATTGTGTGGTGAATGAGCATAAGAATACCTAAACATCTAAACTAATTAGATCAAATGACTGCTTATTAAATGTAAACAAAATGGAGTTCAGTTTTTAAAAGTTGGTTTGTTCCTTTGTTCTTGAAACTGAAAACTCAGCATCTTTGTAAAACTATGTGCAGGCATAGTGGTGTTTTTTTTTTTTTTTAATCTTTCTTTCTTTTTATCATATTTAGCCTTCACTTTCTAAAAATTGAAATCGTCCACAGCAACATTTCAAGATAAATGCACTATCAGTCTTGGAAATTTTCTCATTTTTGTAAACATTAAGACCCAGGGAACAAAATAAGGGCTATAGTGTGGATTAAGTGAAATATATCAAGGCTGTGCTTTTCTGATAACTGAACCTGAAGTGACCTTTCTCAGACACAATTACAGAGCTGTATGTTTTTCCTTTAATTTCATCAGGGGTTTAATTAGTATACAAATAAAACTTCCCTTATCTTCCTTTCTACCTAATTGGCTTGTCTTAGCTTATATATGAAATATGTGAAAGTGGGCTGTAATTAGGGTGACCGTGTTAACCTTTTTTTCTCAAATGTACTGTTGCCTAAAGGCCTCAAGGCCTAGAAACAGTGCTTGGATTATTGCTTTGCAATCACTATGGCTGTCCCATAGGTTTTCTCATGAGCAGAAGGGCTTTGGGTGCTGCAGGTTCCCACTGCTTAACGGGATCTTCATTCTTCTCCCCACTAAATGTTTATTGATTATCTCACTGTTCCACACTCAGCCTCCAACAACTTAATATCAGGTGACAGTCAGGAGAGTTCTCCAAGTAATTAGAGTTGAGCATTGGGGGAACAATTAGGAGCAGAGTTATTAAACTTGATTTATCCTATTCTCTCCTGAACAGTTTCTCGGATATCTGAACATCACACTTTCACAATCTACCCTGGTTGAGAAATTAGTGGCTCACCTGCTGCTTATCATTGTTGCCTTGCTGCCTTGAGGCACACCCTCTAGGTTTCAGTCACTCAGCTGAAAATATTAGAGTCCGTAAAGTTTATCAAGGGTTTTAATTAGATCAATCTGAAGAAAGGGGAAAAAAGGCTTAGCAGCTCTTCCTTTAAAGCAGTATAAACGGTGTTCAAACAATTTAAAAGGTTTGACTTTAATCCACAATGGCAAGGAATTTCAAGCAAAAGGCTGAAACTTTTGTCTTTAAATCACCCATTGTGCCTAAGCATGGGAGCTTTTGTGGCAAATACAATTGGTGAATGTTTGAAGGCCTCTGCAAATTGTTCCCCAACTGTTTAAAATAATAAAGCAACCGAGCGTTAAGAGCTTTCACTTTGCCATGTTTATTTGCACATTGTCACCTGTTAGTAAAGGTTGTACATGATGGTACCACCTGTCACGATCAGGACTAGCTGCCCCTTTGTCCCTCTTATGGTCTCTTCTGAGTGCACCTCTTGAGCCTTCACCTCTCCCAGGAAGAATCCTGCCATTCTGCCACTCTTAGACTGGACCCAAGGGTATAGTACCCTTTGTACCAGCTGTGATTACTCAGCAGGTTTAAATGGGTTTGGCTACTACCCTTTGGGAGTTGTGACCAGCAGTGAATACATTTACCCAAAACAGCCTTTTTAAAACAAAATATCATCTATCTTACCTAAAGACTGAAGCCTATCTTACCTAAAACACTCTAACCTCTGAACTCTGGGGGGGTCAATGGGGGTTCTGGGGGGGGGGGTTGGATGGTTCTTTATTTTTATGTTGGACTCTCTCCTTTCTGTTGATTTCCGTGAGGTGGGTAATACTGATCAACATTTAAACGAACAATACTTTGCATTTTTCTTTTTCTTTTATCCGTAAATTGCTTTAGTATGAAGTATTTTTACTTAATATTTATTTGGGTTTTTTAAAAAAGATGATATTCCTGATATTTTCATGTGCCCAGAATATGGTGTCTAAGTATTGTACCTGTAGCATCTGTCTTCAATTCAGCAGATCATTTTGTCTGTTTATAAAACATTTATAAATGTATGATGCACTAAAAAAATTAGATTTCTGTAGTGTTGGTAAATAAATAATACTTTTGGTAGAAAAATTGTAAAACCTTGGTTTGTAATGGCCCAAATCTACTTCACAGTCAGTCTGTATTCCTCTTTGTTTAATAGCCTATGGCATAAATTGAAGTTAATTATCAGGGCTGACAAGTAACTCTGCTTTCTGTCTGCTGGCAGAGTCTCTCGGAGGCAAAGATGGAGCTGAGAAGAAAAGATCAATCTCTGCGTCAGCTCAATAAACATCTTACCCAGCTGGAGCAGGACAAGCGTCGACTGGAAGAGAGCATCCACGATGCAGAGAGTGCCCTCCGCATGGCAGCAAAGTGAGCACTGGGACCTTAGGGAGATCACTTAAAACAGACAAAAGATCAATTCTTACTTTCATGCGCAGGGTTTTGGCTCTAGATAAAGCAGTGGTAGAAAACAAAAGTACAGTGCTCTCTCTCTCTGAAATTCAGTGATATATCCTCTAAAAAGAAAACTCTTAGTTCAGCCTACTAAGTGTATATTTTATATAATAATCCCAGACAAGTGCTCCACTATCTGTAATAACATGAGTATTTTTGTTTGCCTGTTACAAATCGGAGAATGTATCTTCTTCTTCAAGTAGTGTCCCTATGGGTGCTCCACTTCAGTGCATGTGCACCCCTGCACCTTTGGTGGAAGATTTTCAGTAGCGGTGCCTGTTTGACCTGTGAATGCGCCCTATACATCCTCATGCCCCGTACTGAGGTTATACAGAACTGCGTGGGCGACCTACCCTCAGTTCCTTCTCTACTGTGTTTGGCCTGAGATAAAGTGTTGAGCATGCTCGCTTACTCAAGCCTAGCTTCTAGTGTAGTTAGTGTTAGTTTAGCTTATTAGTAGTTTGTTGGGGTCATTATTTTTCCTTCTTTTTCATTTTCCCCCAATTGAGGGGTTATTCTAGACTTCTGTTTTGGGGTATTCCAGGATCCTGAGGCTTTAAGAGGTGTCTTTCCTATTGGGAAGATACGCGCATCAGTGGTGGACGTTCTCAGTATCTCCACTCTTTAGGAGACGCTCATGTCCCCAGTATGTGTAAGAGCTGCACTTCCTTCAAAAGCAGATCTCGAAAAAACAGGATATCAAATTTGCGTTACTGATGATGGAGCAAGCCCTAAGACTTTGAAAAAAAGATTTGGTATTGAGGACCTCTTTGGACAGCTGTACCGAGCTAGTAAAGGTTCTGCCTCGAAGAGGTCTGTGCCACTGGACCTTGCTATATCCCTGGTACCTATACTATCATCTCTTATCTCTGCATTGATACCGACAGAGTCAGACCCTGGACATTCTCATATCTAGTGATTGGTATCTGTGGCATCAGTGCTGAAGCTGGCCTTCACAGGATCTCATCTAATTCCAGTCTATGTACTTCCGGTACTGCATGAGTTTAGACACTCAAAAGACCTCCTTGTCTCCAATGAGCCAGAATCCCCGTTTCTTTATTTTGGGGGTTAAAAGATCAGGAGGAATCTAAGAATAATACTTTCTGGGTTGTTTAAAAAAATTTATAACATGAAATTGTTGATAAGATATTGGGATTGGCAGAAAATTAGCCTGTCTTTACTAAAGCCTCTGTTTTACTAAGGCTTAATTTTTTCTTCTTTTAATAGAGATAAAGAATTCATTGCCAGTCATATGAAATCTGTGGAAGCCACCCTACAGAAGGTGATGTATTTAGCACTTTCATCTCAGTTGTATTTGTATTTCAAGTCATGCCAAGCTTTTGGAATTGTTTATTTTCAGGAAGGCTGATGGTGGGAGTGGTTAAAATGGTACAAAGACTTATTCATAATTTTAATTAAAGTATAAAAAGATCTCCCCCTTCAACTCCTTTTGCCTCCAGAAAGCATTCAGAACAGGAGTACTTGTGGCACCTTAGAGACTATAAGGTGCCACAAGTACTCCTGTTCTTTTTGCGGATACAGACTAACACGGCTGCTACTCTGAAACCTGTCAGAAAGCATTCAGTTCAGCAAGCCAAATGTCGTAATATTGTTGTTGACAGGTATGTTCCTTTTATTTTTTTTAATGTGAAAGTTGTTACAAACCCTTCCCCCTGAGTACTCTTTATGCTTGCTAAAGTAAATTAGGATGCTACTGATCATCCCAAACTATGTGTAATTGCTCTTGAATGATCTGTGTATTCACTGAGTGAGGCAGAGGTCATTCAACAAGGGCCCATATCAAGTGGTCATAAAGCGTTTGACTTCTCGTGCTCTACTTTAATCCTTGGTAATCATTAAATAGAATTAGAAAAAAGGGTAAACTCTGATGCACAATCTAAAACATAACAGTGATTTTAAACCACTTTTTAAATTGAATAGCAATCTAAAGTGGACCCTTTGGCTTGTATTATTTTGCTGCATTGCAGTGTCATCTTGAATACCAGCAAGACTGAATGTATTGAGTATATCTCATTTTTTAAAATTACAAATGCTATTGACAGTTTGTGGGTGTTTTTCCTTATGACACAGTGGAAATCAGATATATTTCTACTATCTTAAGATGTTAGTTTTCCTCGTCACAAAATGTAAACCCCAAGGAGCAACATACACCCTTCTTAAAATTTTATTTTTTGAAACAACCAGAATATTCAAAAGCTGCTGTTTACTTATTTTTCATTTAAAATAAATTACTCTCTCCAGAGAGAATTGCCTCTGAATATCTCCAGTCTTGGGAGTTTGTTTCTACACCACAAGACCCAACAACTAGGAAGTGTGCAATGTGCCCATTCTTTCATGGTTCCAAATTTTTGGTGCAGGGTGCATAAGTGATATGCTTTCATATGCCTTCAGTTCTTTTCCTGATGCAATAGAAAACAGGTCTTGGAACCATGGCTTCTCTTTGAGGAGAGAAGTAGCAGTACCTTTTCTTATTTCTTTCCTGTTATGTTAGTTATAGTTGTATACAACTTAGCTAGCAGGTCATTGTGCTTTGCAGCACAGGAGAAAAAGAAGTTAAACTTCTGCTGCTGCTTGACCTCCTAAATTCCTAATTATCAAGTAGTAATAGGTTTCTTCCCCTTCTGGGCCACCTGCCTGATAGAGTAGAAAGAAATCATGGGTGTCCTGATGAAGACTGAGAATCAGTGAGAACGTTACTAGTTTACGATGTATCGGTCACAACAGCAAATCATAGTAATGGCTGTAAATAATTCAAATCTAAGTCCTTTGGCCTGTCCCAGAAAACCCAAGTCAAAGTATTGGACCTATCTCTGGAAGTCTGTGAAATGTAGTAGCCCTCATCACTGTGATGTCTGAACATCTCACAAACATTAATGAATTTATCTGTACAGCATACCCCTGAGGTGTATAAATGTTTATCCCAATTTTGCAGATGAAGAAATGAAGCAGACATAGAATACAAATCAAGCTACAGAAGCAAGCAGTTCTTTTATTCCTGTTATTATCAGGGCACTCAAAAGGGCGTTCTTTTACAAGTAGAGGAAAAATGTGAAATAGCACTAGGGAGAGGTGGTCTCTCTTCTCTGCACATGTCCACCCATCTCTCCTCCAGGGAATGATGCAGGGTTTCAGACCTGGTTTCTCTGTTCAATACACCATTACCTTACCTCTTGATCAAGCAGGACCTTCTAACCCATGGAGATACTAATTGTTTCCAGACACCCACTTATGCAACAGCCACAGATCTGCATGTTCGAAAAATTTTTTTTTGATGCACGGAACAGAAAATCTGTAGAAAATCATGTATCTATGGGCTTGTCTACACTTACCAGAGGATTGACGCTGTGGCGATCAATACATTGGCGGTTGATTTAGCGGGTCTAGTGAAGACCCGCTAAATCGACCACTGATTGCTCTCCCGTCGACTCCTGCACTCTACCTGATCTAGAAGAGTAAAGGGAGTTGACGGGAGAGTGTTTCCCATCGACATTGCATAGCATGGACCTCGCGGTAAGTAAATCTAAGCTACGTTCATTTGAGTTACACTATTCACGTAACTCAAATTGTGTAGCTTAGATCGACTTTTCCCTTTAATATAGACAAGGCCTCAGACACCTAGATTTTCTGCAAGGTGGAGTAGGTGTGGACCTGAGTCCAGTAATGTTGATTTAAGCATGCATGGTTCAGCCATCAAGTGTTCAGTATTCAGGCTCCAAATTGTCACTAATTGATCACTCACAAGGGTTGAACTCGTAGGTCTAGTTTCTGGATGAGCTAGCCTATTTTTCTTAAAGGGGAACTCTTAATAGTTCTGTAGGTACTAATTGAACTTATACCTAATTATTAGGGTTGCCAGGTGTCTGGTTTTTGACCAGAACACCTGGTCGAAAAGGGACCCTGGTGGCTCTGGTCAGCATTGCTGACTGGGCCGTTAAAAGTTTGGTCGGTGGTGCAGCGGGGCTAAGGTAGGCTCCCTACGTGGCTCCAGTTGGCTCCCCAGAAGCAGCAACATGTCCCCCTCGTCTCCTAGGTGGAGGTGTGGCATGGGGGGGCTCCATGTACTGCCCCCACCCCAAGTCCTGGCTCCGCAGCTGCCATTGGCCGGGAACCACAGCCAGTGGGAGCTGTGGGGCCGGTGCCTGTGGGTGGAGGCAACGTGCACCGTGCAGAGCCTCCTGGTCGTGCCTCCACCTCAGAGCCGAGGGAAATGGCGCCTCTTCCGGGGAGCCGCCCAAGGTAATTGCCTTCTGAAGCCCGAACTCCAAACCCCTTCCTGCCCCCTGCCCCAGTCCTGAGCTCCCTTCCACACCCAAATTCGCTTCAGGAACCCACACCCCCTCCCATGCCCCAACCCCTTGCCCCAGCCCAGAGCCCCCTTCCGCACCCTGAACCCCTCATTTCTGGCCCCATCCTGGAGCCTACAGCCCCCATCAGAGCCCTCACTCAACCCCTGCCCCAGCCCAGTGAAAATGATCATGAAAGTGAGGGTGGGGAAGAGTAAGTGACAGAGGGAAGGGGAATGGAGTGAGCGGGGGTGGGGCAGGGACGAAGCCTTGGGGAAGGGTGCGGGGCAAGGGTGTTCGGTTTTGTGCACTTAAAGTTGGCAACCCTACTAATTATACACAGACATCCCTATGTTAAGAGAATGTTGTTATGATTGGAAAGTCAAGCACTCAAAAGTTAGGAAACAACAGAATTAAGGTTTTGGCCCCCTTGTGTATAAGCATTAGGACAGTCTATGTTTACATTGTCACATATTATTTTTCACAGGATTTCTGCCTCTATCAGTATGCAGTTTTGCATTATCCTCAGTGTTCACTGTGTGGCCCCATTTCTTATTTTCTGCACACTATTCAGTCCCTGCTCTGAAGATAGAATTATAAATTTCCTCATGGGCTTTTCTATGGCACTCACCACAATAGTACCTTAAAAAAAAAACATGAATTCATTATTACAATGCTCCTCTAAGGTGAGGGGGGGCAGCATTATTATCCCCATTTTACGGATGGGGAGCTGAGGCACAGAGAATAAGGTGTGATGGGGCAAGGCCAGATGGCTATAGAAAAGTAGTGGGAGATAGATATATTAACTCCAGGCTAAACAAATCCCTGGTACCAGGTTAAGTGAAATGGCAGCTGCTCCAGGTCAATTAAGACACCTGGTGCCAATTAAGAACTTTCCAGAAGGCAGGGAAAATGCTAGGTTGATTGGGACACCTGAAGCCAATCGGGGCTGGCTGAAACTAGTTAAAAGCCTCCCAGTTAGTCAGGTGGGGGGGCGCATGTTAGGAGCTGTGGAAGGAAGTTGTGCTGTTGGAGAGGCTGAGTAGTACACACCATATCAGGCACAAGGAAGGAGGCCCTGAGGTAAGGGTGAAGTGGAGCTTGAGGAAGTGAGGGCTGCTGTGGGGGATGTAGCCCAGGGAATTGTACATGTCATGTTTCTAAAAAGTCAGCTACCATAGCTGATACTATTAGGGTCCCTGGGCTGCAGCTCGGAGTAGAGGGTGGGCCTAGGCTCTCCCCCTCCCCATTTGCCCCCTGATTAATCACTGAGACTGGGAGACAACAGAGACTGTGCAAGGAAGGATAACTTCTCCTCACCTCCCTCGCTGGCTTATGATGAAAATGGCTCAGTAGGCTGTGACCCTTGTCCCTAGAGAGAGAAGGGTTAAATAGAGGGTCACAGTGAGCCTCTGAGGCTAGCAAAATCCGCCAGGAAACACAGGACCCATGGAGGCAAGGACAGAGCTTTGGCACAAAGGTTAAAAGTTTCCACTAATTTTGGATGCCCAATTTGAGACACCGAGGACCTGATTTTTTTAAAGTACTGAGCATTATACAGCACTTTATATGTTCAAAGCATAGTTCCTGTATGACTCCATTTGCAGCTGTGAATACTCAGGACCTCTGCAAATCAGACCCCAGTTAGTTATCAAGTTAGTTGCAGAACTCCTGGTATCATAGTCCACACAACAGTGAGGAGGGGGCTCTGTTGAAGTGATATACTCTGAAAGATTACTTAGGTGGAAAGTGATCTTTCTTTCTTTCAACAAATCCTAAAATATTAGTATTATTTATATCCGGACAGATAAGCTGGACCTTCCTCTATCCTTCATTTAGATGTTAAGAACCTTTGTCATTTTTGCTGTCAACACATGTTGAAAATTCTTCATACAGAATTTTTGGTTCCTTCTGAACTATAGTTTTTAAATATGCATTGGTGGGCTTTGTTTACTAGATAAATCTATCTTTTAAAAAA